GTCATTAGTTGCAGTTAATATGCAGCTATAAGGGTATACATTAGATAATCTTTTCTATTTGGATTTCTGGATATTCTTCTCATATTTAAAAGGGAAAACACATGAAGGCAAGTCCAAGAGGTTTTTGATTTTGCACCTTCAATGTGCCTGGGAAGACTTAAACCTTTTCGCTAATTCCAGGCTCTATGATATACTGCCTTAATAAAATGTTTACAATTCAACATAATTTGTAATCGTAACCTTTTCCAAGGGAGGACAAGTAATTGATAACAGCTCTCCTTTTTTGAAGTTCCTAACCAATGTATTTCCCTACTACATTGGAACTCTTTTGTTACTGACGCTGGATAGAAAAAAATAGACCCAGCTTCAGAAAATTTGATACTAATATGAGACACACATTCCATATTTATTTCTTGTATAGAAGGCATAAAACATTTGGTCACTTCCTCAAGTAAATCTACATTTTAGGAAATATTTATAATATCATTTATTTTGTTTTTCATCATACCAATTTTTGCATATCTCTTTTCATTTCTTCCATGATAATTTTATTCTATCTTCATCTATATTTTCCATTAAATTAAACATATCCATAGACTATATATTCTCCTTTTAAAGGTGCATTTCTGGGTCCATATCCCTCAACTCCTCTGTTCAGTAGTCAGCTATTTCTGATGATCTTCTAATACAGACATGGTGAAGAAATGGAATGCCATCTGACAGCTAGAATCAGGATAACCTGAATCTTACTTTAACTTTGTTTTCCTGTCTTGTTCCTATTTCCCCTGCTCAGTGTCCAGATAGTGGCTTATTTCTACATTCAACTACCAAATAATCTTTTTTAATGTAATTATCACCTATCCACACTCCAGTTTATTGGATACCAACTCTAGGATAATTAATTTATCAGTATCAGTTATGCCAACAAGATCCTCACTTATGCTTACCTCTTTGCAACTCATGCTACTGACACTTATTCTTATGAAAACTGACATATTTTTGCCTGGTCATTCACTGAATAGTGGACTTGCAACTATAATAATCTTTTTCATTTGGAAAGACCTCTTAACCAACATACCACTTCAACTCCTTGTCCCACAAAAAAACCCAGTTAACACAACAACAAGAAAAGCCAAATTCTGTTTTCAGCTTTCAAAACAGATTAGTAGATGTTATATGTAATATAGATCAACTAAATTATGTTCACTTATATTCACTACAACTTCTATAATATAGTCATGTAGTTTTGCTATATATGCAAAGTCTGAAATGTGCAGGAAGCTATCTTCTGTCCATGCACAGGTGTGTGTGAAGGTGTGCACACATTCTGACAGAAGTCTGAAACTGTGGATTAAGTGTTACAGTGTGAGCTAAACACCATTACTGATGGAACCTCTTTTACTGCAATGATTTTTTAGATGTCATTGATCTTTAGGAAACCATGTATATAGTTCAGATTTTACCATGCATACATTTCCAATATTTTTCCCAAACTCATTTTCTCGAATGAAAAACAAGTCATTAACTGAATTTAATTTACTATATTAGGTTTACTTTATTTCCTCATTCACTAATTGCTAAAGAGGGGACAGCTAACTGTATATTAAAGGCTACATCAAAACTTCATTAGACTTGAGTAAATATCCACCAAGAATGGACACTGCCTTGAACAGGTTATGGTCTGTATTTCAGTGAGAAGCAGATTACTATGGTTCCCAAGAGCAACTCGCAGTCTCTGGCCAGAGGACAGGCTAAAGCTGAACAGCTGGGCCATGCAGGCCCACAATGTGCCTTAAAATATAGCAAACATTTATTGTCCAAACTTAAACAGAGAGGGTTATGTTCTTCTCACAATGGTCAGCCTCATGGCCTAATTTATATTTATAGCTGGCCTCTCCACCATCTGTACATATAGCATACCCTGCATCTCTGAGAAATTGGACTGGCATTATTTGAAGATGTGATTAAATAGCTAAGAAAAAGTAATCCATCATTTATAAGGGGAAATGTAAGGCAATAACAATGGTTTCCAGTCATGGTTTCAGATTTTTATCTTCATTTCTTTTGCTTTCTCATCCAGTGCCAAATACAGTAAACACCCAGAGTGTCACTGACAGGACTCTGCCATCTAGACATAAAAGGAATGATCTATCAAGATTCTCTTAGGCTGGCTCTAGTGAGGGCACAAATAATATTTCCGTTGAGGAGGCCCTTGTTCCCTTACAGTCACACACATTTAAATGAATCTGGGCCCAAGTATAATACAAGATGCCATTCGTACAGCAGTACCTGTTACGGTGGGAGCCTTCTGGTTTAAGTGAAAATGAATATCTTTATTTGGTTTATTGAAGGAGCTGGAGTATTGAAATATTAGAAAAAGAAAGAAAAACAACACTAAAACAGCTTTATCTTTCTCCTGTTATCCATTTCTAAATATATCCCCTGAGGTCTATCTCTTCATCATTTGCAACTTAAGCCAATCATCTGGCCCTGAAGTCACCTTAAAATATTTCAAAAGTCTAATCTTCAAGTATTCAGTAAACAAAAAACAAAACTACAGTAAGGACGGATACACACACATACACACACATACACACACGTGCCATTTTTTGGAATCTAACAAAAAATTATCAAGTGATGGAGGGGAAAAAAAGGGAATAAAAAAGAATTAATATGTGTTATGTACATGATCCAGCTCCACACAATGAATGTCACCATTACTGCAAACAGGTACTAATAAAAAAAAAAGCTAGTTTTGAATCTAAAGTTTCTACTCACCTCCAAAAGCAGCCCTGAGACAAGAAACAGGCAAAGGGGCTGTGGGATTGTCTGTAGCCTGTTTTCTTTGGGTCTATTTTGTCCCTCTGCTTAGGGATTTCCAAGGTCAGAAAGAAAAGTATGGATTTGGAGTGAAGAGATAAAGACTGGTTTTTCAGCTTGTGTTTTCAAAAGTCCACTGTCATAGAAGACATCTTCATGCTTCACTGGGGGTCAGTAGTTTAGTTTCAGCAGAGACACCCTTTCTGGAAGTCCCTTCATGGGGCTGTTTGTGAATTTGGCAAGGCACTGTCTAGCTGATCTTCTGTCCCAGCTACCAGTTCAACTTCACACCTAGCAGCATCCCTCTGAAGTCTTTTGATTGGGGTATCATAGCAGGCAGGGCTTTTTGTGCAGCATCTTATTAAGAAATCTTACCCCTGATTTCCATAAGTGGAACTCACCCTATTCTTCCCACAATTGGCCTCTTCCTTTGCCTTCCTGCATAATGGGAAGCTCCAGATGCTCTCCAGCCAGAGTACACTTGAAACACACACACACACACACACACACACACACACACACATCCAAGAAGCTGAGTGCCTCCACAAATGAGTTGTTGGCAGAGGACAAATACTATGACAATGTTCAACCCTATAAACTGAAGAACTTCAAAGAGTCCTCCATTCCTATGAATAGTTGTAGGAGATGATCACTGGGCCTCTGGGATCAGAGCCAGTAAATTGCAGGACATGTTCAATACCTCCTCTAGAAATGTGGAGTGACTTATCTTACATTTTCCTGCACTTTATGCCCTTAGCCGAACAATGAAAATTAACTAGAATTCTCTTGTTGTATGAAGTATTCAACAACCAATGTTAGCTTGAACATGACCCTATAAATTGTTACTAATGATTCAGGGTATAGTTTTTAGAACATGACTTAGATTAGAGACCCTGATTTTAGAGTTTGTTTTCTCCCATTTATACATTACGTGTTCTTCTGAAGAGGATTTACTTAGTCACACAAATAAAGTTATAATAATATGCATAGTACATTAAGTGAAGGGAAAAGAAGTAGGCCAGGAGAGAAATTGGGCTCTTGAAGGAAAGCTGATGGTCTTCTTAAATTCCTAGATGGTTCCTTTAGTTCCTTTACTCAAGTAAGACTGCTACCTTTTTTTTTTTACTTCAATCATGAAAAAAGCAAAAATTCATCTTTGTAGGCCTTATCATCAGTGTCATCAGGTAATTGGCCAAGGTACAGAAAATATAAGGATCTAATAGACATTTAAAAATAACAAAAGCCAAAGTAAGACTATGTCTTCTATAATATTTCAGTTACTTCCCACTAACCTTGCTTCAAGGGAAAACTGAGACAACGGTGAGCCATGTCAGAAGAGAGAATGACATAAAGGAGCTGAAACTTACTTAACATGATATGAAAACTTTTTCAAGAGGTTTTAATATGTATTGGTATTTAGGTATATGTAAATGACTGTTCAAATTCTGCTTTTTAACTTCGTTAGTGTTAAGTATTTCAGAATATGTGACCAAAAACCCTCTTTCACCCTCCTCTATTCAGCAAGAATAATGTTACTGCGATGATTTTATATAATATATCAATTATAGAATTATGCTAGTTTTCAATAAATCATCATATTAAATCTTCAAAATACTTCAAAAAAGAAAAACTGTATTAATTGTTCTAAAAATGAGTTCATCAAAATCTGTTCAATAAAAAATAACTGTCCTTTTAAGTGCTCATTTTAGCTATTTTTCTGTAATTTCTATAAAGACTATACATAACTGTATATGTATGGTCCTTATATATGTACATGTGTGTATGTATGTGGTTGTTATGTGCACATATCTACACATGAAATACACATATAATCGTATATGTATTTTATATTTTCATATATATGTTTATATATCTTATATGTTTCATATTTATATGGAACACTGGGAAGGAAGGCAGTCTCACAAAAGAGAGACAGTATTGATTTATTGGCTGATGTCTTGAAAACCAAAGCTCCATTGATCACGATGATTTATTTTCCTGGAAGTAGATAAAATGCACATAAAATTTGCTGAAAGTAATGTATCATCAACACATATACATGCATATCTTAACTAAATTATTCCATATGGATTTTGAAGCATAAAGGAGCAACATGAAATGTCAAAGAAGTCCATGTGTAATTCTGACTGTAATCCCAGATAAAGTACCTATCTTCTTACCTGGCTTAGGGACAATGAGCTGTGCACTGGTTTGGGCATTGCCAGCTTCATTTTCAGCCACACACTGATAAAAGCCTTCATCTGACTTTACAACCCCCAGGATCCGCAAGTTGCTTCCTCCCTAGAAAGGAAAAAAAAGATGAAATATTGTTAAAAGCAAAAACAAAATCAAAAATAAAAACCCCAAGGGAACAAAATGAACATGGACCAAGGTTTAATAAAACATCACAAAATAAACAAGAAGAGAGGCCATCCGGTCCTCAGCCTTATAGATGTCTTTTGCTACCTGGAAAATACCATACATTCCACTACTCTTTTATGAATTCACGGGAATCGATTCAGACAAGTTCTGCAAAGAAAATACCCTCATAAAAGTATGCATCATTCTCAATATCTAAATGAATAATCAAAAGAAAGATCTCTTATTAGGTATGGAAGAAATAAAGATGAGTACCAAAGAAAGTCACATTCCTTTATTTATTATTGTAGAAAACTAGGTTTAGTAGCTTCTCAGGAAAACAAAGTAAGATCTAACAAAATGAAATAAAAACAGTGATATTTGAAAATTCTAAAGAATAAGGAATGAAGCTTATATATTTTTAGGAAATGTTTACCCATAAAAATGTCTGAAAATCTATCAGGGATATGGTGGTATACCATGGAAATTGTAATCCATGTCATTGCTAGTCTATATATGAAATGTTTCACACCTTTGCCAGTCCATAAATGAAATACAGCAACATTAATTCTTTTTTTATATAAAATGAACCACCATCTTTTTCAAGGATGGATGATAAAATGATCTTGAGATAGCATTTAATTATACGAACTCAGTTTATCTTTTATATTAGTGCAAGAATTAGTTCAGTAAGAGAGATGTGTTAAATCACTTCCCCTGAAGTCATTAAGAGATAAATATTACCTCATGGGAAATTCTTAATTGTTTTTAGTGTCTTGTAGTCAATTCTCAGCTGATGTAAAATTCTGAGATAAAGCTGCTAACTTCTAATTAACAATTATCATTTAAGTTATTATTTGCATTTAGTTTTAACATGTACAATATACAATGGCTCCTGAATTTCTGAAACTATTGAGAAAATATTTTAAAGCATAATTAAATGTGAATAGGGCACGTGAATTTTATTTCACCTATGAAAAGAAGCATTTAAGTAGGTTTACTGTAATGAGTCATGCTGGAAGAAAGATTATTTAAATTGTAGAAAAAAGAATTGTTGCATTTTATCATGCATCCTTAAAGGTATACAACAATTTTCTTTATAAACAAGTAGCATATATGTAGGCAAGTTTCCTAATGGAAGGTCATTTTCAATTCAGTGGTAGTGGAAATAGCATCACATTTAAAGGAAATAATAGATTGGTGTGACATTCAAAAGTTAAATTTTTCCATCTCTTACTCTATTCCTGACTTATTAAGTGAATGCAACTACAAGTGAAAAAATGGGTAGTGATGAGAAACATGATAAACAAGATATATTGACTTATTCTTTAAGAATTTTTTTTTGGGGGGGTACCGGGGCTCGAACTCGGGACCTTGGGCTTGCGAGGCAGGCACCTGAACCACTGAGCTAAATCCCTGGCCCCCCTTTAAGAATTTTTGTAGAAAGCCAAAATGCATGCACAAAGAGATTATGAAAGTTGATGAAAGTCACCTGATTATGGAAGAGGCATTTATAGTAAGAGCCAGAATAATGCCATGGAGAGAGCCTGTGCCTGGCCGCACCAGATGCCTACATTCTGGAATATTTTGGCTAAGAGACCTGGTTTTGGCAACAGCTCCTCTTTGACAGGATCATGCCTGCATCTCAATCCTAAGAAAAGTGGATCTAAAACTCTCTCCTTCATCTGCAAAGTTTCTTGATGTTTAGAAAGTGCCTTGTATATATATTTCTCATACAGTACATTCATATGCCTGAAATCAGAACCTTTGATGCGAACCTATACCTCTGACGGAATTTCCATGGAACATTTTCCAATGAGCAAATCATTCAGCTGGTAATAGCAAAAACAATAATGTCAGGCATGGAACATTTGCTGTGCACCAGGACAATTCACTAAATGCAGGACCAGTATCCCCATTATCACCCATAAGGATAGAGATGGTGAACTAAAACTTATGGGGAACTATAAGAATTATTACTCATGGCTTCACTTCTTTCCAATACTAAGAGTTACAAAGTAAGGTAAACTATAGATCTCCATGGATTCTCTAACATTGCAGTGACCATTATCAGTTTCCCCATCAATACTGCTCTATAGGATTGGTTGGCATTATGTGGAAAAATAACAAACAGAAGTAGTTTCTAATATCAAAGTAAGACTACCATAATTATACATAAGATATCTTATCATAAAAATTATTACATGTGCTAAAAGTCACAATAAGTTTAATGTAGTCTAGTACTCGATTCTGAATTCTATTCTATGAAAATACTTGGAAAGTCTTGGGCCCTCTGTTTTGCTATGTTTTAAAGCCTTAGACTATAAAACAAGCGGAATGGACTGTATGATCACTCTGGTCCAGGTCCTCAATTCATGTCTAGAAATCATCTGCTTTCTTAGAAGTTTTCTTAATTCATTATAAAAATTCCCAAAAGTATCTGTCTTATCAGGAAAGAAAAGCAATGAAAAAAATTGTAAGCAATACATGGGATCGTCAAGCTAATATATGTAAAGATAATTACCACTATCTGAAAATAATCACTAGGAATGACCACATCTCCATTCTTCATCCAATTCACAGTGGGCACAGGCTTTCCAGAGACTGAACATTCAAACTCAATATCCATGCTTTCATAGGCATAGAGGTTGGAAGGGTGATTTAAAAACCATGGTGGAACTGCAAAGACAGAAAAAAAAAGTGAATGAGTGAGAATGTGAACTTTCATTTTGAGGTTTTTACTAAGTTGAATACACTGCTCTGGGGTAAAAAATATGTGTAATTCAAATAATTCCCCAAACCACACCTGATTATACCGAAACTATTATAGAATATATCATTTCCCCTCTTAATACAGGTAAGTTGTTATAGTTAATGATATTTTCCTAAAAGAAAGTAACCCATTGGAAAACAAATATCTACATAAAACAAAAAAACAAATGAACATCATGAACACCCATGTGTTTGCATGCTGTTGACCTACACACTATAAAACACATAAAGCCATGGAAAGTATGCTCATGAGGTAAAGGAAAACTTATAGGACTGAGACAATACAAAGTGTAAGATGAAAAGGCTTAGTTTGCTTAAAATTCTAGAGTTTCACTAGAATTTAATTAATGTGATGGACTCATTCTTGAATAAGGTAATATTTTTACTGTGGATACATTTCTATTCTAGAGACTATTAACATATATTACTATACTTTGTTATTATTTTCTCAGCATGGTATGTAATACACTGGTTTAATTTAATTTCTTAATTACCGTAATACTAGTTACTCTATGATGAAAATTTGTAGTTAAAGGAAAATACAATATGTGTAATACATCTTTGCTAATGAGTCTCTCAGGCTTAGTTCCTCAAAAACATGGCTAGAAGAGGATTTTTTAAAAGTAATATTTATGCTCATCCATGAGAAAACTTACAGTGATTTTACTATACTTGCTATTTGAGAAGCCAGACTAGGTTCAGTGAAATAGTAGCTGTGACCTTGTTTCATATAGGAAATTGATAGGTATTTTCAGTAGCCATTTTCCAGAGTAGGTTGTGTTTTTGTTATTGTTCTTACTATGTTCAGTGTGTAAGGAGTGCTACTTTTTCCTCAATTAAAAAATTACAATATTTTCTTTCCCCACTACCAGCAAAAGTTTCCCCTGACACCAAAGTGAATATTAAAACTATGATGGTCATGGTCTTTTAGAAGAGTGGGTGAACTAAAGAAAACTCCAAGGATTTAAGATTTCATTCTCTCTATCTCTCTTTGTCTTACTATCCCACATTATGACTAAATATTTACTCAACAATTAGCACTAAACAATTTTTTAAAATCTTCACAAGAGCAAACTGATTTCAACATCTTGGCTGGGATGCATTAATATTCATGAGCTAAAGACATGAAAAGAAAGGAGGTAACTTAGAGTCATTTTACCATTTCCTACAGGGCTAAAATTACATATTTACTATAACATTATTAGTATAATGAGATATTTTTGATTCCTTAGCCCAATTCACTGATGATGAACCAAAAGACATCAGCAATACTTATAGAATATCCTTTGAAAAGTTACATTAGTTGCATCTTCTCAATTCTGTTCTCAGTTTTATCACAGATTCTGGTCAAGTTTTTATTTACTAGCCAACAAACAATATTTCCTTAGAGCTGTCAATGCACAATTTATTAGTCTAAGCACTTTATTATTCTCACTACACCTCTCTGAGGCAGGATCCATTATCCCTATTTTACAGATGAGGAGGTTGAGATAGAAGGTGTTTAAATAACTTTTCCCAAATTACACAGCATATAAATTGAGGCACCAGACAGTCTGACTTCCCTGCCCATTACCACCCTACCCACTGCAGTGCTTTGTTATAATTGTCTACTTTTACAATTCTGGTGAAATTATAACCCAATAATCTTTCTGTGCCTGGGAGATGATGGAGAAAATAAATTAGAGCCATTAAAAAAATAAAAGCATGTTATCTACCCATCCTCTCCTGTCGCTCCTTCTTTCCTGGAATCATGTAAACTCTAACTCTACTCTTCCTGAATCTTCACTTTCATCAAACTTTTCTTGGAATCATTATGCCTAAATCAGAGTTTTTCAAAATGTGGGTCACAATTCTTAGTAGATCTTAAAAGTGATTTACTGGGTTGAGACTATAAACATATATATGTGTGTGTGTGTGTGTGTGTGTGTGTGTGTGTGTGTGTGTGTGTGTGTGTGTAGAGATACATACACAGTCATATGATCATACACACACACACACCTGTATGACACACACAGAGAGGTAGAGGGAGTAAGTAGAGGAGGAGAGGGAGGAGGGAAGAGGAAGGAGGGAATAGTAAGGACTATAAGTATAAAAAGAATACCAGATTTGTATTGAAGGGGAAAAAAGAGAAGGTTCAAGAACCCCAATAATGGAGCTGGACCAGCCGGGTTTAAATCCCAACCCCTCTTCTCACTAAAAGTACCTCTATTGTCCATATCTATAACCTAGGCAGTGGTGGGGAACTTATGTCATGCATACTGTTTTTTCTTTAAGACAAAAGACGTTAATGTAAGATTTACTTTTCCTAAACTAAAACCTCAGTATTCAGGTTTAATTGCAGTGTTGGCACTTTGCAATAAATAAGTGGGTTTTGGGTTTGCCATCACTGATCTAGAGATAAGAACTGAGGAAAATGGCAGATAATATTCATGAATACTTATAATAACACAATTTTATTTTAAAGATAAATATTAGAAAGCACAGTGTATCACTCATATCAAACATCATTGTACTGCATATATCTATAAACAAATAAAATAAACAAAATAAATGGATGTATCTTTTATATGCCTGTGTGGTATCTTTTTAAAAATTATTTCCTGATATTTCAAATAGCATTTCTGTGTATTTTCAATGTAAAAATTCTTTGGTTCACATAATAGAATTTCTTAAAAACAAATAATTGAGTTTAAGTGACTTAGATTTGAAATACTGTCATGAAGACTCAGCTTTCCCAATTTTAGGGGAAACCTTTCTGTTTACTAACACTCAATAGAACATATAATGTGAAATTGGTCACATAGTAAATTCTCAAAACACTTTGTTTACTGAGTATATTCTCACTAAGAGAATAATTTAGTTGAAATATGTAATTATAGTTGTAATACTGTAAGTACCATATTCAACTATTCTTTCCTGTGCAAAAAGACCTGTGACCTGTATATATGTCAGATCTGATCTATGTTTTGTAATTTTCTTATATTTCTTAGGGTTTAAGTGTTACACTTAGCATGACATCTTATTTTCCCTGGCCGTCTAGTAACTCCATTTTTATAACAGATTTTCCAAGTTTGATATTACATCAGACAGTAGGTGAGAGGAAGAATGTTTCTCTTACTTCCATGGGCAGTATCGTGCATGCTAAATGAGTGTTAAGGTCCCACTTTCTGACATATACTGCCTGTCTTGGGCTGTTATCTGTCGTTAGCAGGCTCAGTGGTAAAGACAAGGGCTAATGATCTCCCTTTAGCCTTCAATGCCTAGTACAGTGCTTCATCCTCAGCAGATGTTCAACAAAAATTTCCTGTTCATTCTAATAAGAACTCAATAAAATACATATTTTTCACCCTTTGCTATGGGAATATTGGTGTATGATAAAGTTTGGATAGTGTCATAGAAACCACATTTCTACAAGATAAAATTATTGGAAAATGTTAATGAATGATGAAAAAACAATTTAAAATGGCATAGCATGGCTATTTAGAAAAAAGACCAGGAACTATATTATTTTAGTAAAACTTTCAGTAATATCCTTAAAGCTTATTCTTAAAAATTTTCCTGCAAACATAGGAAATTAAGATACGTGACTTGAGAGAAGATCTGGAAATGACTTAAAAATATAAGCCTGTGTTGGACTTGAAATTATATAAAACTCTTCAACCTTGCTTTTAAATAATGTACAACTAAATTGCTGCTTACTTTCCTAAACCTATCATCCACACACCCTTTACATGTGCATTGTGGCTCAATTAAACAAAAGCACATAACCCTTTTCTAATTTCAAGTCTTTCTAAATTCTATTTTCTTATTGTGCTGTTTTCCATTTCGTTTTAGGGTACAGGCAACCTGTTTTTCATTAACCCACTTCTCTATGAAAGACATGGTGGTTTTTTTTTTTTTTTTTTTTTTAAACTTTTCTACTTTTGGGAACACTGGCACTTATTGCTACTTGTTTATCCCATTTGACATGATTTTCTCTACATTCTATTTACATGTACATGTTTTTGTTTTACCTTAACACTAGTATGTAACTCCTCAGAGGAAGAAGCTCTGACATGTTAACATGAATTTAATATATCACTTAATGTATTTTAGATAATTACACTATTTATTCTGCAAGAAAGTGAATAAGTTTATCCAATTTTTCTCTTCTTGTTTGATCTTATCTTTTCCTATAGTGAACAGACTTGGATATATTCGTTCCTTTTAGGACTGTTTCCTAGAATTTAAGATCTAGGTATAATCATATTATACCTTTTTCAGCCCTAGATTCCTATACTTGCAACACAAACTGATTAAGCCTTCTGTAGTTAAAAGTGATCAGGGAAATAGCATTTTTAATGAAAAAAATTATTAGAACATGTTTCCAATACATAATGTTTACTTTCCTTATGTGATGTTGGTACATGTGCCTAACACATCTTAATTCCCTTTTCCACCTCCTTTTCCTCCCTTCCTACCCTCTCCATCTCTCCAATCCTTTCCCATTTCAGAAAAATCTATATCACTACTTCTTATTATCTATCTCTTATTTTGCTCTTTATTTATACTTTGAGTTTCTCATATAAGAGAAACCATGTGATATTTGAGCTTGTGTGATTGATTGCACTTAATATTATAGTCTCAATGGACATGCATTTTCCTATAAATGACTCAAATTTATTTTTCTGTATGGCAAAGTAGTACTCTATTGTGAGTAAATACTACATTTTCTTTATCTATTCATCTGTTGATAAATATATCAGCTAAGCCAATATAGACAAAATGGCCATACTTCCAAAACTGATATACAGATTTCATACACACCCAATCAAAATACTAACCTCATTCTTCACTGAGCTGGAGAAAAATGATCCTAAAATTCATATAAAAACAGAAGAGACCCAAAATAGCAAAAACAATCCCAGGTAACCAAGGCAAAATGGGAGGCATCACAAATCTACAGTGATTAAAAAAATCATGCTACTGGCACAAAAACAGATAAAAGGATCAATGGAGCAGACTAAAGGAAGCAGAGACAATCTCACACACGTTCAACTATTTGATCTTTGACAAAGGGGCCAAAAACATAAAGGAAAAAGGAAAGATAACCTCATTAATAAACGGTGCCGGGAAAACTGGCTATCTATGAAGATTTTTAATTACATCACTTTTTTTCAAGGTATCACTAGTGAGATCTCAATGTTCACAGAATAAAGACCAAATTTATACCTTTATATTTAATCGCTCATAGACTAGTTAAAAATTTACTGAGTCTATTTTAATTTCTCACACATTTTCCATAGAAATCATCTACTTCAACAAAACTTGCCGCGGATTTAGCTCAGCAGTTTTGCCTCCTGCTGTGCAAGCGCAAAGACCCGAGTTTGATCCCGGTACCAAAAAAAACAAAAACAAAAACAGAACTTATCCTACTTGTTAAACTGTTTAAAGATTAAAATAGATACTTAGATGATGTAATAAATTGCTTTATATACAAATAGAGAAACTGACTACAGCGTGAACATGGCTTATCTATGGCTATGTATGTGCTATATTTCATCAACATGTTTCTGATCATGGATTCCTCCCTAGATTACATTCCTAGGATAAAATGGACTAAAGGACCATTCAATTTAGTGGTGCGAAATTGTTCTCATCCAGAATTTCATTTTTTTCACTAACTTTTGTTGCTTAAGTAACTTCTGTTTAACTAACTTTAAATATTTAATTTCCTTTTCCTGTTTTTTTTTAAAACGATATTACACAATATATTTTCTGCCCATTCAACAGTTCTCAGTAAGACTTTTCTTATGTGACAAGTTACTTGAAATCTGCTTAACATTTTGCTCTGGTTTGCTTTTTCCTACCTGCACATCTGTCCTCCCCTAGAGAACTGGGTATTGTGATTTGCATTTGATTCTCTATTTAAGTCTCTCTCAAATTCCTATCTGTACTTTTCTAAAAAGTTTAGATTAGGTTAGACTGGGTCCTACCTTTAAAAATGGATAGAATGTATTATACCTTAGAAATAAAGGACACTTGAGCTTTGTTCTATTAATATTGATTGAAGCTTCCACCTTCTTGAAAAGTGGCTTTTCAGGTATGCATTTTATACTCTGCATTTGTTATTTAAAGCATTGTTTCAATCTACTCTGACAGAAAGAAAATGAGAGAAAATAGAGAGACAGAGAGGTGTGTTGATGGGAAGGTGTTGTAGGGATGGGGAAGATCAGAGGGTGGGGAGGGAAAGAGAAAGTACAGATGATTAAGATGTGATGTGCATATGTTCCAATTTCCCAAAATGAAAGCAATCAATTTGTATCTCAAACATAAGGTGAAAATAAATGGGAAAATTAGCTATTGTAAGGTAACTACATTTTCTTGACACATATCTAGGCTTAAGTTCAGTATTTAATTGCATATATTTTCTCAAGTAGAATTAAATGCATCATACTGAAAATTCTATAACAGGAGACCAAGTAAATCAACAGTAATCCATTCCATTTTGGCACTGATCTGTGTGGGAATTCATTGAGCTATTAATTTCATAAAAACTAAAGATTCCCTATCTTTATGTCCTCAAGGCCAATAAGAGGATAGGTGCCCAATACATATTCTTAGATGAGCAGGTATAAAGGTGGTTCCACTCTCCACACCAGCTATTTGGCATTAAGTTATCATCGGGCTACCAAGGTAGGTGGGCAAGATTTAAAAAGCAAGCATGAGCTTTTCTTCTAATGTTAATACCAATTATGACAATATAATACTAAAAGCAACAAACTATAAACCATTCCATTATCACTGGCAAAGACATGCTTTAATTATCTTAGACAAATCAAATTTAGACCTTTGAATTTTATTTTGCACACTCCATTAGTTTTATTTATTGTGAGTGCAATATGCTAACACAGTCTTCCTGCTATTTAAAAATTCTGCTCTTTGTGTTTTGGGGATGAAGATGATCTGATTCTCAATCTTTATTTTAGAGTCCTTCATACATGCTAGGAAACAATTTCAGATCTCCCCACACAATTTTCTTTATCCAGACAAATAACACCATTGCCCTTCCTCCTTGCCTGCCCTTACAGTAATTAGGGTTGCATTTGTCTAAACCCAGACTGAGCTTTCCATTTTTCTCTTCAATTGTGGAGCCTAGGAATAAAGTGGAAGAATGATCTGTGGGATCAGATCCAGGATAAAAATAATAGAGGGATTATCTCAAGGTCCTAATTCTATATGCAGCCTTATGTTACTGACATGCCTTTGTTAACAGCAGCAGCTGGACACATGATTCTTGTGCTGCAAAGGGCTTTCTGTAGACTCTGGTAATTAACATCAAGTAGGCTTGCTTATGTGTGTTGCACATCCATATA